CAGCAGGGAGGGTCAGGAGACAAGATAAACTCCTAAACTCCGAGAGCAGGGGAGGCCTGCTGGGCAGAGAGGCAGAGACTGGCCAGTGTGCGTGCTCAGCAGTCCCACTGCTGAAGGAGGACCAGGCCATGGACTCGCTGCCCACGTTGGCGGGAACCTTGGGGTCTGAGAGGAGGAAAAGCACAATGCCCGGGCTCGAGGCGCAGGTCAGGGCACTTGCTCCCGCTCTTGGCTCAAGTGGCCTGGTTCCATTCATGACACCAGGTGCCCCACTCAGAAGTCATCCCTGTCATAGTGCCACGGCCAGAGCTACCCGAGTGGTGGCTGTGAGTGGTGGACAAACAGCAGAGCGTAGCTTATCCAGAACAGCCCTCATGTTTGGCAAAGGTTTTGCTCCCTTCCCTTGCCTGATGGTCCGGCCTTTGTAGGACACCCAGCCTGCTCGCTGGCCAGCTGAGCCAGCCGCTACCTCGGCCCCTTTCTCTTTCATTCTTTCCCTCTTTCCTCACCCCTGCTTCTGCCCGCTCATAATCTTCCCAGCCAGTTTGGCCTCTTTCTTTATTGCTTTCTCCATCGGTAGCCAGTTGCCAATATCCAGACTCCACAGTTGGCCAGCCAGCACTTGGGCACAGGCTTCTTCACTTAACCTAACTACTCAGATTGGCCTAATTTAGTTCAGTGTAATAGGCTACAGCCTCCTGACCCAGCAGGCTATAAAAAGTTATCATTCCCAGCATTGATATTTCCTGCAAGCATCACATCTGTCTGAAAGCTGCTACAGGTGAAGTTGCATAGATTCTTAGTGCTCTAATGGTAATTTTTAATTGTAACCCACCCTAAATTAGCATAATGCTACCTGGGTCCTAGAAGAGTTTTAGTCCCTTCTAATTCTGTCTTAATGCAGCCAGTAGTTTATTTTTGAAGGATGGCATCATTAAGCCTATTGGCATACAGGCAGACCTCAGAGATTCTGTGGATTTGATTCCAGACCGCCTCAGTAAAGGGAATATCACAATAAAGCAAGTCGCACGAATTTTTTGGTTTCCCAATGCATATAAAAGTTATGTTTACACTATACTGTAGTCGATTACGTGTGCAATGTAGCATTATGTCTGAAAAAAACAAAGTGTATGTACATTAATCTTAATATATTTTGTTGCTAAAAAATGCTCACCGTCATCTGAGCCTTCAGTGGGTTATAATCTTTTTGCTGGTGGAGGGTCTCCCCTCAGTGTGGCTGGCTGCCGACTGAGCAGGGTGGTCCTTACTGAAGGTTGGGGCGGCTGTGGCAGTTTCTTAAAATAGGAGAGCCATGAAGTTCGCCACATTAACTGACTCTTCAGGAACGATTTCTCTGTAACACGCAATGCTGATGATAGCATTTTACCCACAGTGGAACTTCTTTCAAAATTTGGATCAGTCTTCTCCAACCCTGCCCCTCTTTTATCTACTAAGTTGATGCCATATTCTAAATCCTTTGTTGTCATTCCAACAATCTTCACAGAATCTTCACCAGGATAGATTTCATCTCAAGAAACCACTTTCTTTGCTCATCCATAAAGTAACTCTTCATCTGTCCCAGTTTTCTCATGAGACTGCAGCAATTCAGTCACATCTCAGGCCCCACTTCTAACTCTAGTTCTCTTGCTGTTTCTACCACGTCTGCAGTTACTTCTTCCGCTGAAGTCTTGAGCCCCTCAAAGTTGTCCAGGAGGGTTGAAATCAACTTCTTCTGAACTCCTGTTAATGTTGATATTTTGACCTCTTCCCATGAATCATGAATATTCTTAATGGCATCTAGAATAGTAAATCCTTTCCAGAAGGTTTTCAATTACCTTTGCCCAGATCCATCAGGGAAGTCACTATCTATGGCAGCTATATAGCCTTATAAAAGGTATTTCTTAAATAATAAGAATTAAAAGTCAAAATTAGTACTTGATCCAGGGACTGTAGAATGGATATCGTGTTAGCAGACATGAAAACAACCTGTATCTCATTGTCCATTTCCATCAGAGCCCTTGGGTGACCAGAAGCATTGTCAATGAGCAGTAGTGTTTTGAAAGGAGTTTTTTTTCCTGAGCACATCTCAACAGTGGGCTTAAAATATTCAGTAAACCATGTTGTAACCAGATGTGCTGTCATCCAGGCTTTGTTGTTCCATTTACAGAGCACAGGCAGAGTAGATTTAGCATAATTCTTACAGGCCGTAGGATTTTCAGAATGGTAGATGACCATGGGCTCAACTTCAAGTCACCAGGTGTTGTAGCCCCTAACAAGAGTCATCCTGTCCTTTGAAGCTTTGAAGCCAGGCACTGGCCTCTTCTCTCTTGCTATGAAAGTCCTGGATGGCATCTTCTTCCAATAGAAGGCTGTTCAATCTACATTGAAAATCTTTTGTTCGGTGGAGCCTCCTTCATGAGTGATTAGCTAGATCTTCTGGATAACTTGCTGCGGCTTCTTCATCAGCACTTGCTGCTTCACTTTTACTTTTATGTAATGGAAAAGGCTTCTTTCCTTAAACCTCATGAACCAACCTCTGCTAGCTTCTAACTTTCTTCTGCAGATTCTTCACCTCTCTTAGCCTTCGTAGAGTTCGAGAGAGTTAGGGCCTTGCTTTGGGTTAGGCTTTGGCTGAAGGAAATGTTGTGGCTATTTTGATCTTCCACCCAGACCACTAAAACTTTCTCCATATCAGCAGTAAGGCTGTTTCATATGTTCACTTTTAGTTTCCTTCAAGAACTTTTCCTTGGCATATACAACTTGGCTAACTACCTGGCGGTGCAAGAGGCCTAGCTTCCAGCCCATCTTAGCTTTTGACCTGCCTTCCTCACCAAGCTTAATCATTTCTACCGTTTCATTTAAAGTGAGAAATGCGTGACTTGTCCTTGAGAAGAATGTCACTTGAACACTAAGGCCATTGTAGAGTTATTAATAGGCCTAATCTCAGTATCATTGTGTCTCAGGGAATGAGGAGGGGGAGAAAGACAGGGAATGGCCAGTCAGTGGAGCAATCAGAACACACAGCATTTATTAAGTTCACCATCTTATAAGGGCAAATTCGTGGCACCCCAAAACAATTACAATAGTAACATCAAAGATCACAGATCACCATAATAAATGCAATAGTAATAATGAAAAAGTTTGAAATATTACAAGAATTACTACCATAATGTGACAGAGACATGAAGTGAGCAAATGCTGTTGGAAAGATGGCACTGATAGACTTGCTTGATGCAGGGTTGCCACAGACCTTCAATTTGTAAAAAAAAAAAAAAAAAAAAAAGAACACAGTATCTGTGAAGTACAGTAAAGCAAACAAAGTGCAATAAAAGGAGGTGTGCCCACATTCTGGAAGGCTTAAGTAGTATAAGATCTAGGTGGTTTTTCTTTGATAGCCCTCATCTCTTGCTGTTAGCATCAGGGTCTTCCTAGAGACAAATACCAAAGCATGTGGTGGGTATCAAGTGATCCAGAATTGCTGCAGTGACTTCTTCCACTCATTACATCGTTGCTGCAGCTACTCAGGTACCTCCAGCCATCCCAGGGTCTCCTCTGCTCCTTTTGTCTGCAGCAACACAATACACCACACCAAAGGCTAGCTGGAAGGCAGGGCATCCTTTGCCTGAAAGTAAGAGCTTTATAGCTGCTTTTCAGAGGCCTGCAGCCCCAGGATGCCTGCCGGCACGGGAGCCCTACCCACACCCCTCTCCGTTGGGACCTTGTCTGTCTGCCCTCCTCCTGCTCATGTTGTCATCCACGCCCTGGACCCTCACTCTGGGCGACCGGAGCAGAGCCTGCGAAGGAGCCCCACCAAGCTGTGACTCTCAGGGTCCTTCCTTCATTGCCCATCCCCCTTCAGCAACACTTATCAGTTATGGGGGCAGATCTGTGCTGATACAAAGAATGGGTCATGCTGGTGAATTTGACAATCCCGCGTTCCCTGGCCCCATCCTCCTGCTGACGCCCTCCTTGTTCTGCAGTCAAGCATCCCAGCAGGTTCCCCTTTGCTCCGTTTTCTTTAAATAAAAGTTGCCTCTAGGTGAATGATCAGCATCACAGTCTCAAAGTAACATGGAGAGATGTAAAACCAGTCATAGAATAGTTAAAATAACACAGCTGGGAAGGACTTAGCGAACTCAGGTTGTGACTGGCGCCAAGGTCCTCCACAGTTTTAAGATTAAATCACCAGTGAATAGTTTTTAAATGGAAAAGAGCTTCTTTTCTAAAAGGAGCTTTTGCTGTCTGAACTGGCCGGTCCTCTCTAGTGTGCCTGTTTGAGGGGGTGGGTTCTGTGCTGCTGTGTCTGAGGCCCTGCCTGTGGTCTGCAGGGGCAGGGCCGTGAGTGTTTCAGGACCAGGCATCGCTGTCCCAGGGGTGGCAGCTCTTTGAGGGATGCAGTTTAATCCTTATTCTTTCCCTTTTCTGCAAGTGCTACGTCGACCCCCGGTTACTTTAAATGCAGAATCGTTCCCAGTCATTTTTCGGGTTGGTAGGTGGGACTGCATCTCCATTCTCCGTGGCCTGTGTGGTGGCCCTCGCTGTTTCCTCTCTACTATCGACTGCTTTTTCTTTGACTTCTAGACCATTTTTGCGTTGGGTAATGCTCATCAGCAGAGTTAATGTTCCCCATCAAACTGCCAGGCATTGACCAAGTGCTGGATGTGGAGGAAGGGAACCACTGGTACAGAAAACACAGTAACACCTTCTGTTTCTCTTTGTAGAGTCCGTTTAGTAGAAAGAGGATCTCCTCATAGTTTGCCCCTAATGGAATCAGGAAAAGTAAGTATTGAAGGAAGGCGTATGCATGTCCATATAAACACGAGTCTCAGTTTATGGGCTTTGAAAATTCAAGAAATAGATGGTAGATTTTTTTTTTTTTTCCATAAAAGTTTTCTTGAACGTAGTATAACAGGACTGGTTTTGGCCATGAGCACAGAAACTCAAAACGACAGTGTTTTAAATGAGTTAGGTTTTTTTCTCATGTAGAAGAAACCAAAAGGGACTGTGGCATCTTATGTCTTGGCCTCCCCTCGCAAGGGTGCCTCAGGGTCTAGAGTGGTTTTTCCAGCTCCAGCCTTTTCTTCGCACATTCCAGCCAGAGGAGGAGAAGCAGAAAAAGGAGGAGGCCAGAGGTGCAGACTGTGAGGACAGCTCCTCAGCTGCCTCGCTCGCACTTAAGTATCACTGGGCATTGTCACCCACAGCTGAAAGGCAGGTTGGCAGCACTACATTGGTTTTGAATGTCTACGGGCCTGGCTGACAATCGGGGCTTGTTTACTGTGGAGCTGGACAAAGAATGGTTATCAGGGGACAGCTAGTCCTTCTTGTTCATAGAACTAAAGGCAAGAAACGTATTTAAACGTAATTGAAGACTTTTTTTTTTCTTTTTTTGGCCCCAATCGTCAGATCTCTTCTCCATTTAACATAATTCTAAAAGCATATTGTTTTGGGACCTTTTACAGTCTGTGTCTACATGACTGCCCATTAGAATTCTTGGTACTAAGTTGGCTCTAAGGTGGGACACGGCGCTACCCACCCACCCAAGTCGGTCTGGCGGGCCGCTCGTCAGACGTGTTCCAGGAGCGTTCACCACAGATGTGTTGCCTTATCTCAACCGCACAGTGTTAATTAGCTGAACTGAGACGGGTTCTGTTCTAAATTTCCAGAATCAGGTTTTGCTTCATTACGTGGTTTCAGTGGAATGTGGAGCATTTCTGAGCTAAACGTCCATTAAGAAGGAGGTGCTTCATATCGACATTGTACTAGAAGATGTTTACCAGCAGGAAAAGTGGGCGGTGTGGTGGAGGAAAGGGGCAGAGCCGCAGGCGCGGTGTCCTCATGGCTCGGCAGACGCATGGGTGGTGACGGCTGTCTCTTCTGGACACCACAAAGCAGCTCCACTAAATCCTATTTTGCAAGCATTGAGCCTGTTAAATTATATCATTTATCATGTTTTTGTTCAAATTCTTAATTTTAGGATCACTTTAACACAGGCTCTGTCACTGTAATAATTACAATGAAATGTAATTGTTTTCCTGTAATTATATAATGCTGTGGTATATAATTTTGATTTAAATCCATTCACTTTCTAAACCATTTTAATCAGGAAAATAGGCACATGGCATGAAAGCAAGGTCAAGGTTGATTGTGCAGTATCTACCTGTCCGTCCGCTGATGAGACTCTTCTTTCCAACATAGATACTTCCAGGGGTTCGGATCATAATTGCCAATCCAGAAACAAAAGGACCGTTGGGAGACTCACACCTGGGTGAGGTGAGTTCCGGGGGCTCACACCTGGGTGAGGTGAGGTACAGGGTGTCCATGAAAGTTCAGGATTACAAAGTAGGAGTTCCTTAAGGGAGTATCATAGATTCTCTTCAAAAAGTTTAGAAAAGAGGAAACTTCATGTGAGTGGACTGAGTTTCCTTGTTTCCCAGCCCTTGGTTTGTCTTCCACGTGCCTGCTGCCTTCACAGCAGGGAAGTCCTTCATCAGGAACACGATAGGGAATGTGCAGAGGGAATCTTGCGAACCCCAGAATCATAACAGCACCAACAACCGTGGCAGGCAGGCTGAGGACACGACAGGTGTTTATCTGGGTCAGAAAGTCACTTCCGCTCCCTTGTGTTGACGATGAACCTGGCCAGTGACTCCCCACCCGCCCCCTCATCCTGGGCGCTGCTGGCTGCGTGTGGCTGCAGGAGACCCCTCCTGGGCTGTCATCCCCGCAGCTTGCCCTGCTCGGCCGGCCAGGTGTGCCCGCCTCTGCCTTACACGGTCCTTCTCTCTCCCTGATGGACTTGTTTCTTCTGACATGTCTGCCTCCCCACCCCACCCCCATTTTCCTCTCCAAGGCCAAGCCCACAGTGACCCTGTCCTGCCCTCTAGGACCCTCTTGCAGGTGCCACCCACTGTTCGGTCAGCTTCCCCCCCTTCCTCTGACCCGTTCTGGCCGCACAGAAAAGGCTGCCACAGCTGGCACCCCACCAGCACACCAGCCCCGCCACTCTCCTGGAGTGGTGCCCTGGGCACATGTGTGTGCCTCGTAAAGGGGTGAATAGTGATGAGGTGTGAGTCCTAACCACTGCTCACTCCCCAAAACCTTTTTCTTCTTGGACAGTTTTTTGGCCCCTCACTCGTCTGTCTCTATGTGAAGATCAGAACTAGTCTGTGAGCTGCACTATATTTTAGGGATTTCCTTTATATACATATATGTCTAGGAATGAAATTGGGATGTAGCACCCGCCATCTCGGGCACCTGGAGATGCTCCCGGCGGGTGCTGTCCTCACAGCGGGCGGCCTTGCTTGGAGCTGAGCATGTGCGCTGGGCGGAGAGGCAGGGACCACTGCACCCTGGTGTTCTACTGGGAACGTGTCTTAACAGAGATGGTTTTCCTTCCTCTCGCTCGACGGGGTGCCCTCCGTCTCTGGTCTGCTTCCTCGTTGCTCAGCAGGCACGACTGAGGGCCGCTGGCTAGACCCCAGCTCCTCCGGGCCTCATCTGTGCAGACTTGATGGGCTCCTCTGCCTTGTCCCTGGCTCTGCTCAGCTCACGTGGTCGGCACCGTGTCAGCAGGTCTTTCTTTCCCATTTCCACACTCAGGCACTTTTTCCCCCCATTTTTTGATGTTACAGTGCCTTTCCCTCCTAGAGTTTGTTTCGTGTTGTGTTCTTTTATTACAATGTAATATTCCCAAAAGTATGCAAACCAAGTGAAAGGGAAAATAGATCACAAAGCTTCTTAACATTTTTCCAGCTTGCTTTTTAGAAACAGTCGGTACATTTGAATAAATACAAGGAAACTCATACAACCTCGTTCATTTGATGTTTATTTCAAAAGCCCTCAATCCATCTGCTTTAACGGAATTCTCAACAGATGATGGCTTGGTTGTTTGCTCAGCCTTGAGCTTGCTGTCACGCCTTCGTTTCAATAAACTTTGTGGCATCTGTGTCTCCCCAGAAACTGGAATCGTCTTGTTTTTGCAGGGCAAGGACAGTTTCAATAGCACGGAATCTAATCTGTTGAATTGTAAAAGTAGCTTCTGCCCTGGAGATCATCTCAAGTTAACTTATCCAGTTTTATTTTGCTTCCTTAACAGATCTGGGTTCACAGCGCCCACAATGCCAGTGGTTATTTCACTATTTACGGAGATGAATCCCTCCAGTCAGATCACTTCAACTCAAGATTAAGTTTTGGAGACACACAGACCATCTGGGCACGAACAGGCTATTTGGGGTTCCTGCGGAGAACTGAACTCACTGATGCAAACGGAGGTGAGAGTCCCAACAGGCGGCATGAAGGTCCTCAGACCCCTGAAACCTGTCTGGGGTTTGGGATCCTGGGAGAGTGTGCATGCGTGCATGCTTGCTGCAAGCCAGCCTGTAAACAGCCGAGAGTGAGAGAGCGCCAGCTCAGGACAAGTGCATCCAACAGTGGAAGCTGCATGTCACGTGCTCTGTGCTCCCATGTGAGCCAGGAACACATTTAAAACCAGAGGCAAGAGCCAGGTGCCGTGTTGTCCACAACAAGTGCCTGTAAGTGCAGCTCACAGACTTGTCTCCAATCCTGGAGCCACCAGCCCAGCCCAGGCCCTCCTGAAGCCCTGCTGCTCTCTTCCAGGGCAGGAGGCGCTGGCCTCGGGTGCTCTGCATTTCTGCACCTGTCCAGCAGGCCTGGTGCCGCAAGGTGCCTGAGGGGAGCAGCAGCTCTGAGGGGCTGGCGCTGGGCGTGGGTGTTACGCAGAACTAACACATTAAGAGCCTGCCTGCCCTTCTGGTCTTTGCTGATCCTGGAATCCTTTCTCCACTCTTTATTTCACTAAAAACAGAGACAGGACTTGGGTATTACATAGAGATGGGGCCTGAGCTTTCTTGGTGAGATCCTGCCAGACTCAGAGCCAGAAGTCAGCGAGCCTTCCTGACCCACCTGTCTGATGGGAGCTGTGCCAACCTGGCTGAAGCAGCATGAATTTAGGGAAAAAGTACAAGATATTTTGGTGTTGCATTTTCAATTTGGGAAAATCATAGACTGTTTTACTTGAGGGTGCTATCTGGGGTTCCTTGAGGAACTTGAGGAACTAAGCAACACCCAGACCTCCCAGGAGGCAGGGCAGGTCCCATCCTGCGGAGCCCGGGGGCTGGGACAGTGGGATACCCCACGGCAGCTGTGGTTAGAAGCCAGCAAGTAACTGCCTCCATCTCATCTGACTTAAACTGGAAAAGATTTATTTTCTGGTATTTTATATGGCAGTCACTTCTCTCAGACTCACCGTGATATATTTACTAGTCTAAAGATTAAAGATGTCTCCTTGTTTTTAAGGAAAGGTGGACAGACTGCATGTTGTCATTATCCCAAGGTTTGCACAGCTGATGAGAATAAATTTAACAATTACACGAGCTAAGGAAATTTTTGTTCATGAACATTCTCAGAAACTATGCTTCCTCTTCCCGCTCAGACGTGCAGTAATAAGAGAGTTAAGAGCTCATGTGCTGGCACCAGAGGGAACTGGGCATAACTTGGGCTGTGCTGGGTCCTCACCATGTGACTCCAGGGAGCAGGTCTGCTGGCCTGTGTCCCGGCGGTGCTGATGCTGCTGAGGGCTGTGTGATAACACACTTGACGGCGTGTGGAGGCTACTCCTATGGGATGAGGGGAGGGACGTGCAGGCGTGTGGCCAGTGCTGAGCCAGGCAGCACTTCCGCCTGCACCTTTTCCCTGAAAGCCTCGGGCTGCAGAGTTTCCCTGGTAGAAGGGAGACAGCATCCCTTGCTCAGTGATCTTTTCTTTGCATCTCTTTCACATTCAGGGGTAGTCTTTTTTTATTTTTTAAGCGGCTTGAGCGGCATTGCGGTGAAGCTCACACGGTTTCCATTCCCTGTACAGAGCGCCACGACGCCCTCTACGTGGTGGGGGCCCTAGATGAGGCCATGGAGCTGCGCGGCATGAGGTATCACCCAATAGACATCGAGACCTCCGTCATCAGAGCCCACAAAAGCGTCACAGAATGGTGAGGAGGGGGTGGCAGCCTGAGGGCACGGGGTCCTGGGCAGAGTCAGCTTTCCAGGGTGAATCTGAACCTCTGAAGAGCACTCCTGGTGCAGAGTTGTTGCTTTTCCCGAGAGTGACATAAAGACGGCTGGGCAGTGTTTCCAGGGAGCCGTTTATTTGGTTTTTTGTTAAGGAAGGCGTGATGTAGGGTAAATAGACTGTCCGTGGGAGCCTAAACGCAGCATGCCTGTGGGAAGACCTTAGGCTCCAGGAGAGGCCGCGTTTGCCAGCGTCACTGGGTTGTCAGTGACAAGTCACCCACCCCTGCCATCCTTGGGGGTGAGGAGCCTTGCAGGCCATGCTTCTCCCTGGCTGTTTGGTTGGCTGTGACGTGTGAGTGTGCCCAGATCACCGCCTGGCCTGGGGGCTGCAGCGCTGACCACCTCCTCAGGGCCTTTACGTGGCATTTGAGAGTGAAAAGTAGCTTCAGCACCATTGGCTGCAGGTCTGCTCATTCCCTTAGTCCCTGAACTGGCAGAGGCCTGATGGAGCTGGTCTGGAAGCTCAGGGCAGGAGCCCCAGGGGGAGGCTTGTTCCAGAACCTTTCGGGAGCAGTTTTCTCGGCAGGTGGGTTGGTCTGAGATTGTCGGCTGCCTCTTGTTAGCTGACGCAGGCTGGTGTTCTTGGCTGTGCACTGCACTGCACAGAGGACTTGGCAGACAGAAGAGTCGGGTGGACGGGGGCGCCTCGTCCCCACTTGGTGCCGTGTTTCAGGGCGAGCAGTGACGGAGCCCGTCTGAAGCACAAGTCCTCAACCTGCCAAAGCTGCCTGTCCACTCGTGTGTCGAGGAGGGCAGGGCAGAAACCCCAGAAAGGTATCAGCCCAGAAACTGGCAGGGGCCCACCTCAGTTTCCATCTGAATAGCTATAAATACCAATCACAGCCTTCCATTTTTGTATTTTTAAGAAAATAATTTTGACTGGCTTGTATTGCCTCCGTCGAGTATTTTCTATCTAGTTGAAAAGGTGCCGTTTCTACTTAAAAGTGTGTGGCAGGGGTGCCCCTCATGGGTTTCTCCTTTCTGTTCTGAGCATTGCTTAGATGCTGTGACGCGGAATAAAGCTGCATTTTATTCCAAAGGGTTTCTCTCTGTTGGAGTCTGTGCAGCACAACCATTCTGTTATGTCCCTCCCCCTTGCCTGTGGCCCCCCCCCACCACAGGGTGCCCCCATCAGTCACTTCATGCAGAGAAAGAAGGATGTGATGCCAGGTCACATCTGTGACTGCCTCACTGAGTACAGTCCAGCCCCCCGACCCTCTCAGCCACTGCGGCCCCAGGAGAGCTCCGGCGGAAGGAGAGTAGCCGGCAGCAGCCCACGGCCTCCTGGCAAACCCCCTCCCCAGTTAACTGTGGAGTCTGAGCTGGTCCTGATGCTGCGCCATCGATTTCAAATGCCAGGATAAGATTGTCCCCAGCGTACATCAGAGTAGTCACATGTGATTCATGGGCTCAAGGCGCGGCCCTTGTGGAGCGGTGCCCGACGCCTGGGAGCTGTGCCCTGGGGCTCGGCACTGGCACTTCTTCTCGGGAACAGCTCCCCGCAAGGTTGTGCCCTTAGGTGTACACGTTCGTCACAAAGCAAAATCCAGAAGGAGGGGTCTGCTGAACACATCCTCCAATGTTTCCCTTTCATTTTCATGTATTCATTGGCCATACTGAACAAAATATTCATTTTGTCCTAATAGGCATACTCTGTGCTTTCAAGAAACAATAGTGAATGTTCCCAGATACTTCCTGCCTCACAACTGAGATAGAACCTTCTCTGTGTCTGGCAAGAGAAAGATCCCCACAGCCCACTGCAGGGCCCCAGAGCCTGGCCTGTCCTCCACGCGGCTCTGGTGGCCAAGGGCAGTGTGTGTTAAGGTTCTTAAACAACCATGTTTTAAAAGCCCAACTATATGATGTTAAAATGGCTTAAAGTGTAAAGCACTGTTCTTAGGCTTTTACAAGTTGGGCAGACAAAATACTCTGGATGGCCCTCCTGTTGAAAGATCCAAAATAAGACACTTCTGGGTAAATCTCTGGAGTTCTCCAGGAATTACCGCACATGAGCCAGGTCTCACTGCATTGCCCTCATCCTAAACTCAGTACTTTAAACAGGAATCAGTTAATGTGCCCTGCGTCTGCAGTTGACCGCTGAGGTATCTGACCCCAGCGTGGCTGGAGCGCACGGGTCAGCCGGGCCAGCCGGGCCAGGGGCTGGCAGCTCTTCTGCAGACGTTTTTCATCCCCCTGGTGGCAGAGGCAAGTCAGGGCCAGCCCCAGCGCCCCCGCTGTCTTAGCCTCAGCGAGAAGCCCACAGACCTTGTTGCAGGCTGACCCAGTCACCTGGCGGGACAGACTCCACCCTCAGGGGTGTGTGGATCCGGGGAGGGCAGGGGCGGGGCTGCCACCGCGAGAGCAGGTCAGTAGGAGGTGCGGATGACGGGAGTGTGAGAGCCGGTCAGGGACCAACAGGCCTGAGGAGGCTTAGCGCCCAGGCAGGTCCACAAAGAACCCAATGGAACGTCTGGAAAAGAAAACAGGATCGTTAAGTTCAAGCCCCGCTGTACAGTGATGCTTCTCTCTCTTCCAGTGCTGTGTTCACCTGGACAAACTTGCTGGTGGTTGTGGTTGAGCTCGACGGGTCCGAGCAGGAAGCCCTGGACCTGGTGCCCCTGGTGACCAACGTGGTCCTGGAGGAGCACTACCTGGTGGTGGGGGTGGTGGTGGTGGTGGACATCGGCGTCATCCCCATCAACTCCCGGGGGGAGAAGCAGCGCATGCACCTCCGCGACGGCTTCCTGGCCGACCAGCTGGACCCCATTTACGTGGCCTACAACATGTAGACGCTGCCAGAGGCGAGCCATCTGCTCAGTGTCGCGAGTGTGCAGACGCCAGGGCAGGTTCCCGAGCGGAGCTTTCGCCAGGTGGTGGGGAGGAGACTTCCCACTCGTCCTGGTCGGCACGGGGGTGAGATGAGAAATGTGAAGTTTGCTCAGAAGGACTTCGCGTTACTGCCTTCAGTTTCTTGGAAAAGCCCATTTCAAAAACTTTTTCTTTTTTTTTTAATTATTGGATAATAAGTGCTTTCTTCGTAAATGTGGTATTTTGTTAAGCCAAAATAGCAATTAAAAAAATATTCTGCCCTCCAGATGGGTTCTTTTAAACAATTTATGTAGTGTGACAAAGAATTGTTTTCTCTGTTTTAATGTGTCATGAAATCTTAATGCCATGGACCTGCTACTAATTTAAGCCATTGCTGGAGCTCATCCTTTTAGGACAGTTTGTTGAGGTACGAGAAAACCTTCCAAATAGCACCTTCCAATTAGATTTTAGCAGCTTTCTTTGTCAGAAATGTGCTGAAGAAACAGGCTAATAATCGGCCTTTGAATTTTAGCATGGAATGAGAAGAAATTATAAATAAGGCGTATTTCGGCAATTACCTTGCAGATATCTTTGTACTAAACTAAAATGATAAAATAAGTTAACTTCTTATGTAATTATGTACAAAACGTTTAATTTATTTTGATCTCTTTAGAAGTATAACAGAGAAAACATTCAAGAATATTAAAGTCTTGTAATGTTTGCTAATATAAAAAGTGTTGTATTATCTTGCGTGGATAGCATCACAACAAATATATATATATGAAATATAAATTCACTAAGAACAAAGGAGATTTTAAAGTTTAAAACGCAGAACCTGTCACTTGCATGGCGTCCCCTCCACTGCACTGTAGATAGACTCTCGCCCATTGCTGGTGTGCGCGGCCAGACAGCCAGCAGCACAGTCGGAACCTTTCCTCTGGAACCAGAGACCAGCAAGTGGCGCTGTCGCCTCAGAGGTGGCGGATCGGAGCTGGACGTGCACTTTTCCCTCTGCTGCGGGGTCTCGACGGATTGTCAGTGCCTCGTGCCCACCGCACTGCACGGCCTGGGGAGCAGCTGGCCCACAGCACGCGCTCTCTCGGCCGCAAGAATTCATTGCACAATATTCCCATCATTTTTGTTTGTGTCACCTTTTTTTGGTCCTCGGTATGAAAGGAATGTCATTCTGTGGTCATTTGCAGCGGGTTGTGCTGACTCCCTCAGCGGCTTTAAGGGAAGAGACTCACCAGGAGGGGGTCGTGCCTGGGGAGCCGCCCCCGCTGCCGGGACAACAGAGCCACTGGCTGGGGCAGGAGGCCCCCAACCCCCACCCCCCGTCACCACACCTCCTGCGAGGACACACTTCTGATTTCCATCTCTTGCTGCTGCTGCTGCTGCTGCTGCCGCCGCCTCACACGCCTTGGAACTTTCAGAGCTCCTCGCACACTCCCGGACTGAATCAGCCTGTCTGCCTCCAGCCAGGAAGAAGTATCAGCTGTCCGAGCAAGATCCCCTTTGTAATTGCCCCAGTGCGCCCCACGGGGCCGTGTCAGGTCTGCATGACTAAGATTGCTGCTGGCGAGACTGAGACCCTTTCTGTGAGGTTGTCTTATCTGCCTTTGCTGTGTGTGCTGGCAGTGAGCCCTTTGCTACAAGAGAGTTTTGTTTGACTTCTGAGATCCAAGGCTAATTGCTGTTAAAATTTTAAGTGGCATTTTAAAAAAACTTGTCTGCATGTGGGGTGCATTGTTCCATCTCCACAAGTTATTTGATTTTTAAAATATTGTTTGACTTCATTGCTGTGTATGAATATTTCTCTCCATGCTTCAGATACACATTCCCACAGTCTTTCGCTCCCTAAGGGGGAAAAAACCCCACCACACACAGAAAAGACAGACATGCCCACCTTGTGTAGGGGGAGGGGTTTAAGGTTTCGGGTCTGACACTGATGAGGAAGCAGGACTGCAGGTGGCTCGTGAGGCCCAGCGAGGTGGGGTGAGGTCGGTCCTGCTGTCCTGTGTCAGCGTCGAGGTCCAGAGGGCTCAGGGCTGGGATCCAAGTTCTGTTGTGCAAGAAAAAGGAAAGGAGACACTAAGTACCACCCGTTTAGCAATAAAGGAAGATCGTTCTGTACTAGGAATTGTGCTGTGGATGAGTCATTCATGAGAACGTAACCAGTGTTTGTCTTGTGTCCTTGTGCTTTTGAAGTCAGACAAAACCGTGTGATCACCTTGCACACAGGAGGGTACACAGTGATCACTGAGACTCAGACCAACCCGACAGGGCGGCTTCCTCATGGTGCTTGTTTATTATATCTATTTAATCCTGCTTGACACTTTACCCAAGGGAAACGGTCCCTTTTACCAGTTGGATGCTAGCAGCGTTGTTTCATAGTGTGGTGACTGGTTAGAGAAATTCATGTACTCAACCAATCACGGTTTCAAACAAAATTTTTATGTGCAAAGGACGGCAACCTTCTCGTATGTTAAACCACCAGTAAGCTTTGTACATCTGTGATAACGCCTGTTTTATATTCAAATGAACAAATAAAAGCTTTTATTTTTGTTGCTCTGAAAATAGCAGTTTCTTAATTGGTCCCCTGGAAAACTGGGCCAGCTTCCATCCTAGGAAGGAAGTGACTCCTACCAGGAATGTATCTGACTCTGTTTACATAATTTGTTGCATTACTTATCAGTATAAATAATCATACTTTGAACAATGTTTAAATTTTGATGTGGGCATTTATTGCTAAAAATATTCCTATGGCAACAAATGTTTTGTGAAATGTTTTTTTTAATTCTTTTAAATATATCTAAATATATTTGTTCATATTTTGCTCCAAGTGTACAGATTATTGGTAACTTTTAGGAACAAGGAGTGTGCGTCTGTGTGCACATACTCTCTGCTGCTCCTCGGCAGGAAGCTTTGCCAGGACATAGGTCTCGCTGACGATTCCAACCCAAACTATCTTTGTTTTGATCTTGGCTTCATCTCTTGGAAAGAGCGGGATACTCCAATAAAGATGTTTAAAAAAAAAAAAAAAAAGTAGTAGCGGGTTAACTGACCACCAGCCTAATGGTTACAGAAGCTTAAGTTTAATACACATGAAAATCAGTAGGACTGATTCTGCACACAGACCAACAGGCTTCACCCGAGTGCCTTTGTGTTAGAATTCCACTTGTACCAGGACCGTCCCGCGCTAATTGGGGGTATAAAAGTGGGTGGCCGGTGCAGACCACCTGCCTTGGGTGACTCAGAACGTTGCTGACACAGAACCGCCCTGTGTGGCCGTGCTTTGTGCAGAGTGTGTGTTCCTGTGCGTGCGTAGAGTTTCTTCTGATGCCGCGTTCTGCGTCCTCCAGCACAATGCTGAGGTCTGGGGACACAGGAGTTTGATCAGCTGGTCAGTCATCATTCTGGGTCTTACCGTCCTCGTTGATGTCTCGGTGTCCCACGTCGGGTGGTGTGTCCACCTCAAGGAACGTGGTGTCACTGCTTCCGAGGAGAGAGGTTCCATTTCCTTGACACCCACGTCTTTTGTGACTTGTGGTCTCGACTTACGACATCTTCTCAGCAGAACCCACAGCCCCCGTCCCCACCGGTGGGCCAACCCTTTCTCTCCTGCCGGCCCGCAGGCGGGCGCTGGGTCCCAAGAGGGCATCTTTCCCGTCACGGCTGCTCTGGCTCCAGTAGAGTGGGCTCCTCAGTTCACCTCTTATTGTCTTTCCATTTTTAAGGTTAATCCATGAACAAAATAACTGGGCAAGACCAAGTCAGTACGATACCTTAGCGAGAGACTTGGGTCGGCCGTGCTGCCTCGGGTGGTGGTTGGCGGTGGTGACCCCTTGAGGTGGTCCACGCATCAGCTCCTCTGGCTGGGGTGGATCCCACATGTCTCGGTGACCCCTCGGCTCCCCCCTTCCATCCTGCACATCACTGTCACCCCCGACTCGGTCGTTCATGGGGTGGAGAGTCAGAGGCCCACGCAGGGCTGGCACAGAGGCCTCTAGCAGATGGACGGCATCTGTGGCTGGGCCAGTCATGCTGGTCGTCGGGGCAGGAGGCCAGCAGGTGGCTCGACTCCGCAGCTCCTCACTCGTCACCTGTGAAGAGAGCGCGGGATGCCACGTGGGGCTGTCAGGCTCAGGGGACAGATTGACCCCGGGAAAAGCAAAGGAACAGAAATGGAAAGTGAGAAGGAGGAAAGGAAGCCCGGCAGTGCGGGCGCAGAGGATCCAGGCTTGGCCTCAGCTCTCCTCGTGTTGCTTCGTTTCCCTACCTCGTGTTGGTGTTGACACGTGTTGACAGATATCTCTGGGCCTGTCCAGCTTCCCTGGGGGAACCGGGGCATGTGTTCTCTGCGGGCCAGACCAGCCCGAACAGACGTTCCGGAGATGCGGGGGAGCCGCTGAGGGGCAGAGGTCCGCTAACTTGATGCGTTCCCGCTCTGCTGACCGTCAGGAGGACGAGGACCGCGTCGAGACCCTCACTTCGGCGGAGCCCAGGACGGAGCAGTGAGGTGAGGGCCACGTGCGGCCAGAGCTGCCCCTCCCTGCATTCCCGCGGGACTTTTTCCAAGGGACCGGATGCACCCACGCGTCTTGTCAAGTCACCCTTGGCGGTCCCTGAGCCCTGTCCATGCTCCCTGAACCGGGGGGGCAAGGGGCAGCATTGCTGTGCATCCCGTTCCTCAGCCTCCCGTGAGAGGGCAGAGGCCACTTGTCCTGACCACTGTCCAATGGGCTTTCCCACAGGTCAGGCAGCATCAAAAACATCCGAAGCTGAGAGCCAGGGGGTGAATCCTCAAAGACAGATGCTCTCCTCGCGGAGCAAAGCTCCTAGCCACCAAGGGGGCAGCACGGCTTTCAGGTCAGCGTCACCTGGACAATGGCTGCAGGGTGTCCTAGCTGGGAAGTGGCGGCAGCGTGACACCGGCTGGGGTTCCTGGAGGTAGGAGTGGGCTGTGAGGTGAGTTGGCCGG